CCGTCTCTCTTCTCTCGATTTGACTCCGTCACGAAACTCTCCCTCAAATGTGACCGTAGATCCGTGAGCATCGGTGACGAAGGGCTAATTTTAATCTCTCAACGTTGCCAAAACCTTACGCGCCTCAAACTCCGATCATGCCGACAATTAACGGACTTAGGGATGATCAGTTTTGCGAAGAACTGCAAAGGTTTGAAGAGGCTTTCATGTGGATCTTGCACTTTCGGTGCTAAAGGAATGAACGCTATCCTCGATAACTGCTCGGCTCTAGAAGAATTATCGGTGAAGCGATTACGTGGCATCAGTGACGGAGCGGGAGCGGCAGCAGCAGCGGCAGCGGAACCAATTGGACCTGGTTTATCCGCATCATCTCTTAAACTCATCTGCTTGAAGGATCTCTACAATGCACAGTGTTTTGGACCACTGATAATGGGGGCGAAAAATCTCACAACGCTAAAGCTGTTTAGGTGTTCCGGAGATTGGGATAAACTACTGGAGCTTGTTACTGATCACGTCGAGGGATTGATCGAAGTCCATCTGGAAAGGCTACAGGTGAGTGATGCTGGGCTCACAGCCCTTTCCCGTTGTCAAAACCTGCAAATCTTGCACATCTTGAAAACACCAGATTGTTCAAATTTAGGGTTAATTTCTGTTGCTGAGAACTGTAAGCTTTTGAGGAAGCTTCACATCGATGGCTGGAAAACCAACAGAATAAACGATGAAGGGTTGATTGGCGTCTCCAAACACTGCCCTAACCTTCAAGAGCTAGTGCTTATCGGTGTTAATTCTACTCGTATCAGTCTAGAACTCCTAGCTACAAATTGCCAGAAGTTAGAGCGATTAGCATTATGTGGGAGTGAAACAATTGGGGATGCTGAGATTTCCTGCATAGCTGAGAAATGCACAGCTTTGAAGAAGCTCTGCATCAAGAGTTGCCCTGTTTCTGATCATGGAATGGAAGCACTTGCAGGTGGGTGCCCTAATTTGGTAAAAGTTAAGGTAAAGAAGTGTCGTGGAGTAACCGGTGATGGTGCTGGGTGGTTGAGGGCTAGTCGGGAGTCACTGGCTGTCAATTTGGACACCACCGAAGTTGAAAGCCAGGATGCCGCCAGTGATGGAGCGGTGGAGAACCCTCCTGCCGCCAGCGAAAGTGGTGGCGCCAGTTCTAGCAATACCACTACTAGATCAACATCATTCAAAGCTAGATTAGGGTTTATTGCTGGGAAAACCTTGAGGAAGTGGTCAAGTTTCAATGGTGGCTCTCGGAGTCAATGATTGGAAATTTTCTGGTTTGCATTATAATTCTTGTTTGACTTTTTGATTTTGTGCTTGTTTTGTGCATTTAGTCTTCATGCATTCGAAAATCAGTCTGCATTTATGGCTTTTGTTTTTATGAAGCTTGTTATTTACTTATTTATGCATTCTAATATTTGAAATTTTCATGATCGAAATTAGAGGAAACAAGATTTCATACATGGTTTGAAATTAAGATCAATAAATTGAAAACAAGTTTTCATTAAAAAAAAAAAAGGTAAATCGGATGTTGTTTATCCTCTAAACAGGGCTTATTAAGCTCAATGATACAGACACCAAAAAGGATATTTTGGATGAATACAAGATATATAAAGACTCTCATTGCTTTGTTTATTATTACATTTAGCTTTCATTTCTTTCAATTACTTCAAATAAATCTACACAGTTATAGTAATTTGACCCAAATATTGAACAATTTATTTCAAAGTTGAAAAATACAATGTTATAATTGGATAAGTTATTCAAAAGTATAAAGCTCATGTAATAGAAGCAATGAAAATAGAGATGCTATAATGCACAAATAAATAAAAGTACTCTGCTTTTTCTTGCATTTATCACAATGAGAGTTTAGTACTGTGGTGGTGGTGGTGGATACACTCCGATGGAAGGAGGTGGTGGCCAGACCCCTGAATTTGCTGGTGGTGCCGACTGTTGAGGGTAGCCTTGTGGTGCTGGATATGTCGACTGTGGTTGATACGTGGCGGCTTGTGGTGGTGGATACGTGGATGTCTGTGGTGGATACGTGGCTGTTGATGGTGGTGGGTACGTTGTCTGTGGTGGATATGTGGCGGCTGAGGGTGGGTATGTGGCGGTGGCATTTTGGTAATTAGGAAAAGGGGATGAAGTAGGAGGATAAGTTGAGTTACCGGAAGTTGGAGGGTATGTTCCGGGAAAATTGTTTGATCCGGTAGGAGGGTAAGCAGAATTTGGAGGGTAAGATGGTAAAAGTGAAGCCATAGGGTTTGAATTCGGAGGGTAAGATGGGAAAGGGGAAGATCCAGACATACCAGGAGGCGCTGTAGGATAGCCAGATGGTGCGTTTGTATAGTTCGCCGGAGGTGCACTAGGGTAGTGGGTTGCCGGACCTGGTGGTGGCACAGCCGGGTAAGGGGCGGCTGCTTGTTGTTGCATGCCGCCGTAAGGGGAAGCTGGCATGGGGTTGTAAGGGGTGGCTGTTGGCTGTGGCATGGCGGAGTAATGGGAGGATTGGACAGTGGAAAGGGCGGCGCCAGGTGTTGCATATGCCTGTGCAGGTGGAGCGTATCTAGATGAGTCCATGGCGGCGGCGGTGGAGGAGGAGGAGGAGGAAGAAATGGGTGCACCAACCATCGCCGGAGTTGATTTGTGGGGTTTAATTCGAAGAAGAAGCTGATATAAATGGTTTTCTTGATCGTTTCTGGTGGCAGTTGACTTTATGAGATGAGGGTTTTCCGATCTATATATCAATAATTAGGAAATGATGAAATATATAATAATCGATCAACTTGAAGTCCAGTTGTGCTTATCGACACTTTTATTCCTCGGTTTGACTTGTTCTTACGTTTGACTTTTTTGCCTCTTTGCATGTGTAAATGGGATCTTCGAGACAAAGTTGGTGTAGGTACTTGTACGGTGTAAGTTACAAAAATAGTCCCTTCACTTTAACCTCATTGTCCGGTTATCTCCCTTTTGAATCATTTATATATTTCAGTCCTTATCCTGTGTTTATAACTAGAGACAACACTACACAAGCAACACTACACAAGCTTTTAAGCCAATATCTAGGGATGAACAAATGAGTGCGAAAAGGATTTTTTGGGTTATTTTTTGTCTACTAGTGTCAGTCTAATAGTCTAATGTACATCAAATGCAATGCATGTTGTCAAGTTTTTGTATATAGCAAGGTTCTAAAAAACGAAGGCGTGACTTGGCGGCGAGGTCAAAGTTAAGTTATGCTAAGCCTTGGTGAACCATAATGTTTTTCAAGGCGTGACTATTTTATATACATTAAAATAGATAAATCATATAATTATTGAATTGTATCAAATATATGAAGTTTTTAGAAGTGTTATATTAATATTTAATATAAAAAAGTTAACAAAAACTCAATTATTTTAGGTCCGACAAAAAAAAAAATCGAAAAAACCCGCACCTTGAAAAAAACTCGCGCCATAACGCGATAAGGCACGCTTTGACACGTTATTTTGGCATCACGCTTAACAAACCCGCCTTGAACGTTTTCGTAACGGCTAAATCACGCTTTGCGCCATGGCATACCTTGAGGCGCGCCATGACGCACTTTTTAGAACCAAGGTATATAGCGTGAGTGTCATTTGACTTGAAATTCAAATCTTATGCACGTTTTGTTAGATGATTCCTATTATGGGTGTCATTGTAAGGTGTGAGCTTAAGAAATATTAATCATCCTCGACAAGATTTGATAGTATTGACTTTGATATCTTATGTACCGTTGGCAGAACAAAAATTTTGATGCGGGGTACAAACATTGTCAATATATATTTTATGCAGTTATTCATTGCATTAAAAAAAAACATGATGCCACCATTTTAGTTAGTAGTACAATAATATAAAACATATATACAAATAATTTTTTATATATAAAAAATAATTTTTTGAGGATACTGTAGTATCTCCACCGCTTCATGTAGCTACGTCACTATTGTATACCCACATCACTTGTAGCAATATTAAGGGTCGCCAAGTCTCTTAAATCCTTCTGAGTGTTGTCATTTCTTCTTGAGATTAAGGGTTCAAGTTCCACAGTAAATATAAATGAAATAATTTAGAAGTAGTTTAGTATATTTGCTGTTTAAAAAAAAAATTTGTGACCCATTTGAACATTATATACAAAAAATCTATAAATATTATAAAAGTCTAACAATTGCTTCATAGGAAATCTTCAAAAAAAATCCAATTATTTTGGAAAAAGTTACACTTAAATCTCAAATTTTTTTTTTTAAATAAAAAAATCCAACAAGCCGTGGCATGCCAAGCTTGAAGGGGTCGCTGACGTGGCTTTCTAATTCAATACACTTAAAAAAACAAATTACTAACAAAGATCATATGGGGCAAGTTTTGAACCGGAGACCTCCTATGTCACCCTCACGCCTTACCATTTGGATTAGAAGATCTATTTGCTTTTCTACCTTCACTATATATATATATATATTTTGTTTATTTAATTTACTTAAAGTTCAAAGAAATATGATTTTAAAGCTAGAAAACCGGGGAGAATGGGATTCGAACACGGGACCTCTATCCCCCAAAACGAAAAAGTGACCAACTAGTGGCGTTTTGTTTGGTTGGTGAGGTTCCAAGTTCGAACCGTGTTGGCTACTTCTTCTGCGTAATGCCCTTTTTAAGGTTTAATGGCTAACGTGTCATGCCACTTTAGTTGCCATGTCAGCATCCCAATCCAGCTTGACATGCCACGTAAGCGGTTACCTGTTGAAAATGTCATAACGGGTTAAATTGTAAGATTTAGCTGATTTTTTGGGTTTTTTATTAAAAAAAATAAAATTTGGGATTAAAGTGAAACTTTTACGAAAATATTAAGATTTTTCTGAAGATTTCTCATTGCTTTATCTCTATCCAAGAACAAAATGGTACAACATTGTACGTTTAGACATAATTAATTTTGTTTTATTCTATATGTATCTCAGATTACTTGGTGTATCTTCTTGTGAGTGTGTTGATTTTTTTTTATTATTATTTTATGTGAGGGTATATATATTAACACCTTTAGTTTTTGAGTAAATTATGAAATCATTTTCATGTTTTGGATAAAATTACACATTTGTCCATAGTTTTTATTTTACACAAGGATCATAAAAAGATCAATAATATAATTTTGACCAAACCATATGAACAATTTAATTAATCTGCTCTTAGTTTTTTTTGATGAATTCTTACTAAATCTTTGAACATCATTTTCCTAAAACCAACATCGCATGTTGTCTTTATTAGACCACATGAACATGCTATGGATTCCTAAAAAAACCATTGTAGTTTACGTCAATAGTATGCATGTTGAAGATGAAATTACTAATATTCTTGAAGTGTTAATTATGAAAACAATAACTTGTAATGAAATACTGATAAAAGTATTTGGTATCTCGAAATAAGAGATAAATGTTAACATTAAAGTATCAAGAGTTTGGGGCCAAAAAGAAATAGCTTGAGAGTTTGAAGGTCTAGATGAGAAATTGGAAAGTTTCAGAAGCTCTCTCCTTTGCTTACACGCAACCAAAATTTAAGCGGTGGGGAGGCTCGAGGAAAAGAGAATTCGTACATAAGAATGAGAGAGGAGGCGAGGAGGAACATGCGAACCGGAGTAAGTGGGAACCAGCATTTAGGTGCGATTCCTTGTAGAAAATTTTATAGTTTTTTAGGAAATTATTCTTAGAAAAATAAAAATTTAAAAAACGCGTTCGACTCGTTATTTGTATCGACAGGTTTGGGTGTGTTTGACTCGTTTCAACTACTATTGATTTCCTTCTTTCATCTTCCAATACACCAATTATATATTGTATAATTATATAAAATAAGAGTTTCCTATTCAATGTTGATTGGACCAACCCTTCTTATTTTGTTTTATTTTTTTCTTTTTAGTTTCCTTTCGACTTTTTGTAGTGATTACACAATGGATTAAAGGTGTTATATATGTGTACCACCGCTTATACCTTAGTTACACCATCCACCGCTCTCAGTAGACGTATATCCTTTTGTATCTTTCTTCTCCAACGCAATTATCTTACCTTCCCCGCTTAAACCCTACCGCTTTTATTGATTATTTATTGGTACCCGCAAAACGATCGGCTTCGTAAGCTGCTTTATCTGGTGGTCGTAAGTAATTCCACGAATCAATTAAATCCAAGTATCCCTCCTACCACCTCTAATCGATTGGGGCTTTCTTTGGTTCAATACTTTAATTGATTGTTGGTTACGTGAGGAGTGAGGAGGCCTACATCGTTTGAAGGCTTACCTCCAATTAGAAGGCGTCTCCGGATCCGGTTCAGATGGTCGTCGATTTCATACACTCCACCACCCATGGTCGTTCCGGGTTTGGGGGCCCTTCAGACCTAAAGTTGGTACATCTCCGCTTTGCTTTCTTCTTCTTATTCTTCATGATGGGTTCAAATTTTCACAAAATTTGTCTATGGCTCGGTTGTAGGACTTATGAAGACTTGAATCCCATCATTAATTTATGCTCTGAAATTCCAAATGCGCACTCATTCATCCTCTTTTTTGCGATTTATGTTCCGAGGTATGCCATTCTCACGCTTTTAGCATTTGGGTGTTTATTATCCTGTCCCTGGAAATAAGGCTCGATTGCTTACTCCCAATATCGGAAAAAAAACCATATATTCATTAGATGCAATGTCAACAGAAAAACCAACATCGGAGGTGGGACTTACCGGATAGGAAATGGAGGTAGCAGCTGGCGCCGACAGTTGTGGTATGGAGCGAGATCGGAAGAGGGTTGCCGGTGGGAGAAATCGGAGCTATGGTCCCGTCGGTGGTGAAGAAAAATCAAATCCAATGGAGAATAGGGTTCAAGAGGTTTGTGATTTTTTTTTCATTTCATTTCGATTTCTTATCATTATTTTGATATGAATTACTTTAGTCCCTTATGTTGATTTTGGTTTCAGATCATAAAGCAGCAAATGTTGAGTGTTGCGAAAGCTGTGCCTCCACCTCCTTCATTTAGCTATTGTCGGCGATGGGTTGTTTCTCTGGTGGTTGGGCTTCCCCTGACCCACACAAATACTGCACAATTGCATGTATATAAATAGTAAGTACTCCTTTTTTATTCAGGATTCAGATGCTTCAATTCGCAAAAGAGCCCTTGAACTTGTGAGGTATGTATATGCTTTTGTAGTAGTTTTCCAAATGATAGTTTATTTAATCTTCAATGTATGTTTAACTTGGGATTAATTTTGCATTTGCTTTCCGATTTCAATTAATAAAATACCAAATCATCATTGGGGATTAGGTTATTTTCCTGATGACGGTTTGATGTTTAAAGCTTTTTAATGTTTACTTCAGGTTGCTTTTCTGAAATTTCCAACCACTTCCTTTGCCAAAGATTGAAACGTGTATAATTAAATTTTGAAGTTGTTTACTATGATAATGTTTTCTAAATAACCAATGTCATAAAATTTATTGCTCATTCTATTCTAATTCCATGATTTAAGCTTCTTAGATATAACTTGGTGTCCTGAGAGATTACCATACCAGTACACTCCACATATGTTATGTTTTTATTTATTTTTATCTTTTCTGATTACAACCAGATAAACTGACGATGATGTGTCATATGGAAGTAGAGGGATCGACCCATCACCGCCTCTCAGTTGATTGCTTTCCTCTCCAACCTTCTCACTCATTTCAATTCCACCTCTCCTTCTCTCTTTCATAATTCTCTCTGATTTCTTCTTTCATTCTTCCTAATTGCAGCCAAAACAAGGGATTGAATTTACAAGTAAGGGTTTTCTATCTAACCATCAATCTTTAGTACTACTTATGTTTTGGATGCTTATGACGTGCATTTTCAAAGTGATTGTCAAATATTGCTTATTTGGAATACTCCACTGAAACAAGGGTAAATTAGATTAGAGGTATGAAGTAAAAGAGGTTGTAACTTCCTTACCTTCATACATCCCTGATGTCGGTTCAGTGACTTCATTCTCTTTAGTCCACGAGGGTACAATATTAGAAACCAAAGGCATCCCATCTGTGAGGGTAAATCAGTCAAAGCCAATCAAATTTTCTTCATGCTTCGTCCTCCTTAGTAAACTGTTGAAGGTCACATGTTTGGGCACAAATTTGCTTACCTTTTGAGGGTCAGAAGCTCCTTGATGACCCCGAATGCATCAGGTATACAAGTAGGAAGATTTTTATTCTTGCTTTGGTAGTTTAAGATCACAATAAGTCAAGTTTCCCAGATAAACAATTGATGATTAATTTGATTCAAATCCTATGAAATCTGACTTTACCTATATTTAGCAGGGAAACAAACATTTTAATTTTCTTCCGTGCTGAACTCTTTCAACACCAATAATCCTATAATGGGGGTGGGGGAACATCTACAAGTGACGAAAGAAAGTTTTTTACATTGGCATATCACATGTGTCATGTACATGGATTACATTGCAGTTTTACTAACATGTGTTTTTTCAGTAGTTCTCGAGTGCAAGAACTTTGGTAAGGTTGGTCCTTATTTTTTTAAACAGAAAGTGTAGAATCTATGTTTATCTTGGGTTTTATTTTTATAAATTGTTTTTGCTCCAATTCAATGATTTCTTTTCTATATTGATGGGTTTGAGGAAAAGCCATGGAGACTTCAAAATATTGAATTTTTTATTTGGAAAATTTTGTTTGTATTTTCAAGTAAGAATAAGGTTCGTATAATTGAAATAGCTATTCTGGAAAGCAACAAAAGATCCGCAAGTTTGCAGTATTCCTATAAGACCAATGTACTTATAGTTTTTAACCATAATAAGAACCTACTTTATAGGTATGAATTTGTAAAAATTTGTTTGTATTTTGCTTATATATTTAAAGAAACATAGGTAGAATACTATTTTTGGTAAAAGTACCAATCAATACAACCTAATCGACTTTTACATAGCTTGCACAATTAAACAAAAAAAAACCTCTCCTGACCCATAGAGAGCATGGATCTCTTCCTTAGTTATAACTAATACACATATAATTAACTAGAAGACGCGTGAGCAAGAGTATTACTACTGTAATTATCCATACCAAGAAATTGACCATAAGACGCATGAGCAACATTGGCAGGCTTTCCGACACAAATACCCATTTGAGAATTGAGAGTGGTGATGTTATACAAATTGAAATTGGGGGTGGTCAAGGAAAGAAGAGATGGAATGGATTAATATATTGATGGCGTATGAGGAGTGGGGTTGATAATTCTGGTCATCTGTTTAAATTTATTTAGTCAAAATTTTGCTGGTGGGTTTAAGTAAGGAATGCTTTGAGGATTATCTTCATTCAAATAGAGATTTTGGACTGATGATTCAATGGAAGAAAATGATATTCTAAGAAGCCAATTTTGCTGCCCACTAAGTGTTTGATAAAATGCCTAAACCAGTTTTTCTCGTGCTGCCGCCTTGTTGTTCAAGATAATGTAGTTTGCTTAGTTTGGATGCTTATTGTGCACACTAACATTGTGTTGGTGTGCCATTTCCTTCCCTTCCTTGTTTAATATTGCTTCAGAGTTTTAGCTTCATCTCGAGGCTTGTTCTCTTGTATGGCTTCTTCTTCCACAAGTTCGAGTGATATTTGTTTGTGCACGTTCAAAAGCTTCCATTGTTGCCCAAATGGTGAGGTAGGAAGTAAAAGGATTGTCCGTATGATTTCACATATCAAAAGACATCATTTACCTACTGAAGACCGTAAAAGTGTGTTACGTGAAGCTCTTTCTAGTGATGTGTAACAGCCCGGATCCCCAGGTATCTTCATTTCATATATTTTTGACATTCTGTGAGGGGACTCGGCGAGTTGGAGGTCGAACTCGCCGAGTCAGGTCGCGGTTTTGGGCGGGGTTCGCGTCTGGACTCGGCGAGTCCAAGGGATGGACTCGGCGAGTCCGCGCTGTTTAATGAAACCCTAATTTCCCGGCCCTAAGCCCTATTTAAAGGACCTTATGGTCCTCATATGCGGCCACCTTGAACCCTAAGAGCCCCCATACGTCTGTGAGCCCTTATGAGAGTGTTTGGAGGCTTTTTGTTCATTATTTTGTGGGATATTGCAAGGAAAGGAGGGAGAGGATCAAGCTTGAAGAGTTGGGGAGCTTGGATCTGTTGCTACTTCACCAAGGGAGTCTACTTGAGGTAATTTTCGAGCCAAACTTCGTGTTTTGTGTTGATGTGCCAAATCTAGGGTTTCTTCTTGCATTTCTTGGCTTGAATTAGAAGTATGAGAGGTCCCATGGAGATATGGAACCTAGATCTGGACTTTAGCAGGTCCAGGAGACCCCTTATGACAAGCTTTATGTCCATTCTTTTGAGTTAGAAGCTAAACTTGCCATATTAGAGGTTCTTTCTTCAAAATAAGCCTTGTATGCATTGCATGGCAACCAAGACCGAGACTTTATGTGACAAATAAGCTTGGGAAGGCCAGATCTATGTATGTATGGAACGGATCTAACCGCAAAAGCCAGTTTTAGCTGGTGCATGGCATGGACTCGCCGAGTCTGAAGAACAGACTCGACGAGTCGCTTGAAGATTGTCCTTGAGACCATCCTGTGTGTAGTCCGGACCGAGTTGAGGGCGACTCAGTGAGTCGCAGAGAGTTGGAAAGGTTTTGACAGGTGGACCGAGTCAGGTTGGGACTCGCCGAGTTGACCTTCGACTCGGCGAGTTGAGTCGCGGTGGCCCTGTGATTCAGGCCCAGGGGGAACTCGTCGAGTCGAGGGAGTACTCGACGAGTTAAAAGGGAAAAACCTTGATAGTTGATTAAAATGCGTAGACTCGCCGAGTCACTAGTGTGCACTCGCCGAGTCCGGTCCAAATTGATTAAAGACGATTGACCAAGTCAACCTGTGTTGACTTGATAAGGATGGCCCACCTTTGTGGTACAAGTAATAATTATAGATTTATAATATCATAGGAGGATTGCAGCTCGAGGGTTCGAGCTCGAGTGATTTCAGGATTTACGATTAGCGACTTAGCGAGGCGTACGAGGTGAGTCTTCTCACTATACTGTACCCGGAAGGGTTTTGACTGTGTGACCGGAAGGTCGAATATGATATGAGATATATGCCTTATGTGTGTTAAGTTATTTGTTATATGTGCCATGTATGATATGCTTGATTTGGGCCGGAAGGCAACATGATATGGGCCGGAAGGCGTGGTCATATGGACTGTAAGGTTGACGTGGGTAGGACCGGAAGGTTTACCCAGTCGGGACGGAAGTCCCCTGAGACACAAGGACCGGAAGGTCAAGGCCTGGAAAGGCGTATGTGCGTATGTTGTATTTTGGGGAACTCACTAAGCTTTATGCTTACAGTTGTGTATTATGTGTTTCAGGTACTAGTGAGGACCGTGGGAAGGCGCCAGCGTGACCGTACACACACTCGGGGAAACTATTTTGTTATCTTTTGTTATGTAATCGGTTGTGACTACATTGTTACTTTGGAATCTAAACTTATTACTCATGTTTTGATGGTTGTAAAAATGAAAATTTTTGGTTGGAAATTTTATGACGTTACAAGTTGGTATCAGAGCCTTGGTTTGAGGGATTCGGGTACACCTTCGGGCGTAACTGAACTCAAACCGGGGATTTGAGAAAATTTTAAAAAAAAATATAAATAAATAAATAAATAATAAATTTTTGATAAGTGAGACGACCAAAGAAGAAAAAGTGTGTACGGTCAGCCAGCGCCCGAACGGTAAAGATCCCCAAAATACTCTTACAATATGTGTTATGAGACATGTTATGATATGATACGCATGCTAGTGGACTAGGTATACATATTAGGACTAGAGTGGCCTGATTTTGTGATGCCTTAGTCTAGGGAAACCTGTTTCTATGAGGTGCTTGAGAGCGAGTGGGTAACTAGTGTATGACAAGAATAGAGTGCTCAGGATCCGGGGTTTGGGGAGGAGGACTTGGGGTGAATACCGACGCGATGTAATTGGTAGTATTGGGCCCGTACTACCAAGGACATCGGGTCAGTGGGCAGCCCAAGTAAGAATCTCTAAGTATCGGAAACTGAGCGGGACTGCGTTATCGTGTGCGATTATGCCGGTGGAGTCTCTGATATTTTTATGTTGTATTTCAGAGACATCATGGTTGGACCACGACACAGACTTGGTACGAGTGGAGTGATTGACGAGGAGCTTCGTCAGATGATTCATGAGGAGGTAGCTGCAACGATCCGGGCCGAGATTCCGGAGATGTTTGGGTCTATTAAGACCACGCTGATGGAGACGTTTGATGAGCGATACGCCGCGTTGTCTGAGGCTGCCGCCGCTGCAGCTACCGCAGATGTGGCCGCTGCCAGACCACAGGGGGGTGACTCGTTGCTGTTCCGGGAGTTCAGCAACACGAAGCCACCAGAGTTTGACGGGACGCAGGATCCGATTGCTGCAATGAGATGGATTGCTGATATCGAGGGATGCTTCTATACTTGTTCATGTTTGGAGCATCTGAGGGTACGGTTCGCCTTGAACCAGCTCTGCCTGGGAGCAAAGGATTGGTGGAAGTTCGTGACGGCGAACTTCACTCTTGTGGAGGTTTCAGCCGTGACCTGGGAGAGATTCACTGCTATGTTCAGAGACGAGTATGTTCCCCCGGTGGAGAGGGAACGGTTGGTTCAGGAGTTCTTGACCCTCAAGCAGGGTAATGATTCGGTTACGGTGATCACGCGGAAGTTTCATGAGAGGGCGATGTTCTGCCCCGAGCAGGTGTCCACGGAGCAGGCTCGGATGAGCCGGTATTTGGGAGTGCTGAGGAGAGATATCCGGGAGTTCGTATCGAACTCGTCATATCAGACTTTTGCGGAGCTTCAGGCGAATGCCAGGAAGCGTGAGATCGAGTTGGAGACCCAAGCCAGGGAGGAGGCCGAGTCTCAACGGGTGGATCGGCG